TTTACTATGAATACCTAAATCCTCAGCATCGCACCCCTCCCTTTCATCATTGAATTTTCATCAGTGGAAGCAGGGATACTATTTTCTGTAAATATTCATTAGAGATATGATATTGAGTGCTTAAATTGTTAGCACCCAGCTCTTGATATCTCTGCTTATAGATGCGTAAAGCATAGGCCATGAAGACATTAAATAGACTGAGGTGACGATTTCTACGTTGTACTCTTGACGAGGTATGAAATATTTAATTAAAAATTAAATAGACATCCCTTATAACATGACCTGATTAACGTAGATAAGATCGCATCGACCTGACATTTAAGACTTTAATCCCACTCCTAGTGAACAATACCGCATTAAAAATGTTATCTTTTATTTTATATGTTTTTTTATTTTACACAAACTACGCGTATGTACAAACTGAGGTTGACTGATTAATTGATTTTTGCTTTGAATGCATTATACAATCGTTAGCAATTTGGTGCTGATTTTAGCAATCTATGAAACTGTATGTATTATCAGTCAATGAAGCGACCTGTTCTTTTTATCTCTCGAGGGCGTCGTTGCTGAAAACATAACTTTCTGTTCCATTGAACAGTAGTAATTTATCCAAAGGTGACGCTGGTTGTCATTGAATACGCAAATATCAGAAACTCTCTATCGATGATTTACAATTGCAACTTGCCAACCATTACAGGAAGAGGCACCGTTTTATGTTCGAACTCTCTATCCAGTAACGACGATCTATGAGATGAGGTTGTTATTCATTCCACCAAGACGGGGTTCCCTGTGCAAAAGCGCGATACTTTTACCATTGCAAATATGATTTGACGGCAGATGGCGCTACGCCCTGGTAGATTTCAGCTTTATTGTGTTTAGATTCCATTTTTTGTTTTCATTATTGCCGGATGTGTTTCGGCCAGATCCTAGAGAAATGAAGCGTGCATTGATTCGATTCGATCGAATTTATCGTGTGGAAGACATCGTTTGAGAATACATGCTGCGATAACCACGCACCATTGATAATATTTAAGCGGTTACATGATTAACTGCAAGCAACTACAACTACAGCAACAGCATTACTCATACATTAGCGTAAGCTAAAACTACATTTGTTAACGGACCTCAAATTTAAACTATCACTACTACTACTACAGCATTTACTATATCGACGACTACTACAACTGCTACTATTAAAACGCTTCTTAAAATCCAATAAAACTGCCACGATTATTAATGGTAGAATTCAGCTGAAAGTATAGAAAATTAAACTAATTGCGGAACGAAATATTATTTTCTTTTTATTGTTATTTAAAATTCAGTGTTGAAACAGTGAAAAGTGCTTTCCAACAAATAAACAAAACATTAAAAAGAAGGAAAATATTTTTGGCAATAAAGATACAAGTGCTCAACTGCTGTGTAATATCAATTCTTCTGGAAAATTTCCGCACAGATGAATAGGGGACTTGAAATCTCTTTCTACAGAAGAACTTTGTGAATACCATGAATGATACATGTGAGTAATAAGGATGTCTTAAGGAAAATCGAAACAAAGCGTAAACTTAAAATCAGAAAGACATTGTTGAAATTTCTAAAACGCACAATGAGAAAATAGAACTTAGAGAGTTTGATACTCATAGGGACATAATAAATGCAGAAAGAGTAAAACACCTTAAAAGCTTGCGTAAATGAATGGCATTTATTTGTCCCTGTGAGTATCAAACTCTCCAAGTTCTATTTTCTCATTGTGCATCTTAGAAATTTCAACTATGTCTTTCTCTAAATGTACGTCTTGAATGATTTCTTACGACTTATCAACCCATTGTGAGTTATTTAAAGCCAAAAATTATATTGGAGTGTAAGGAATGAATGGGAATGAATATTGCATTAACAAAGTTTTGAGAATAACTATGATGTCTCCAGATACAAATCTTACTATTTAATCCATAGCTGAGAGGATGAGGTGGATGCATACCTTTCCGAAAAGTATTTGCACGCAAGTGAATTTATCAAGCCACACTGAAATTCGAACACAGTTCTACACTTACACATTTCCAAGCCGCTACATATTACACAAACAGTATATCGGCAGAGAAGGGACTAAAAAGCGATAAGCAAGATGGAGAAAGGATAGATCTGGAAACAGTACTTAAAACAATATTTCATTGATTGATTCATTCATTCATTTTCTACGGATTATCAAACCTTTTGCAGGTTATTTAAAGCCAGAAATTATTTTTAGATCATAAAATATTATGGTGGGGATAATAATCGTCTAGTGATAAACGTCTTACTAATTAACCCATATTTATGGGGAGAGGTGAGTTCATATACTTTCAAAGGGTATTTACCCGTAATTGAATATAACGAACCCAAATGGAATTGGAACTCGGCTCTCCGATTAACAATTCCGAGCCATTATCCATTACACCACCCGTATCTTACAAAACCTGGTATTCACAAGCAGTTACCCATTTAGGTACTGAGCAGGTTCAACGTTGCTTAAAGTTGGTGATAATACGAGGACTAGTGTTTCAACATGACGTGGTCGCAATTGAATTGATCATCAATTTGCTATTATATGAAGTAACGATTCGTGAAACATATGTTTAAATAATTTTTCATTCATTTGTATTAACATAAGTGTTGAGGTGTTCTCCCTTTTTTACACAAATGGATTCACCCAAGGTATAAATATACTACTGCTAGTGAATACCCAGAAAAGAACGAGAAGAATCGACAGAACGAACATAGCCAGCAAGAGTCACAGTGAGCGAGCACGTAGACTCAGTAAGAAGTCATACAGCGATACTTCAATACCAAAGACTATATATATATATATATATATATATATATATATATATATATATATATATATATATATATAAAAAATATGTTGTAGTGGTTCCAACGAGAGAAACGTATGTATATTAAAAAAGAAGAGAAGAGAGGTGTCCGCCATAACGTTTTTGGTTGTAATGTGGATTTATTTAGAAAAATATTATGCTTTGTTTTACATAATTTTTACGACACGTGTTTCTGGTCTCATGACCGTCTTCAGGTAAAAGTGGAGATTTCTACATATTATTAAAATAATTAATTTTTTTCATATTCAATGAATATTTCGATATGAGACATTTTCTGTTTGTGTTGGTAATCCCAACACACAAACAGAGAATTACCAACACACAAACAGAGAATGTCTCATATCGAGAATATTTCACATTGAACATGAAGAAAAATTAATTAATGCAGCTTAATTAATATTTTAAAATAGTCATTTAAAGAATAAATCAATAAAATTACTTAATAAAAACAAGGATCGCGTCGTTCAGTAAAAGTTAATGACTTCTTAGTTTGTTAGCGAAATTAATTCGTCTTTAATTACATCAATTTTATGGATTTATTCTTTGAATGACAATTTTGCAATATTAATTAAGCGGCATTAGTTTTTTAAATTGAATATATATATTGTGGATTCCGGGATGAAATCCGGCCTCAAATGAATGACAAACGCGGGAATGAAATATAGCAAATAAATGTATTGACGTAATAATATAATTGGTAATACGGTTAGTAGATCCAGAAATGCGGTTAGTAGCAATGATAATATATATACAGTCTGGGAAATTCAGTATCGAAGTATGACTTCATTCTGAGTCTACGTGCTCGCAACTGTGACTCCTACAAAACGGTTACCTCACACTCTTACCCTCTCTATGTATCAATCTACCTACTGTTACTCCCGGGTATTCACCGGCAGCAGTACAAGTACACACTGGTCGAGTCAACTTGTATGAAAAAGGGGTGGACCTCATAACAATATATATATATATATATATATATATATATATATATATATGTGTGTGTGTGTGTGTGTGTGTGTGTGTGTGTGTGTGTGTGTGTGTGTGTGTATTTAGGCAGCAATCCTTCTTCCTTGCACAATTCATTGAATACGACAGACAAGGTTCTCTTAATTAGTTTTTTTTATAAAATTTCTCATGCGATCTTATTTTTTTTTTCTTTTCAGGTGCTAAATTATATAAAAACTGTCCGAATGTTCTTTTACGTACATGCAACAAACTATTTAATCCTTGAAAATGGTTAAATGTATAGCCGAAAGCGCTCGTATAAAAAGAACATTTGGAAAAAAAATCTGAAAAGAAAAAAAATATATTAGATCGCATGAGAAATTGTATAAAAACTAAATAAAAGCACTTTGTTTGTCGTATCCAATGAAATGTGCACATATATATATATATATATATATATATATATATATATATATATATATATATGCTACTGAAAGTTTAAAAATGTTTGTCAAACGTATTTCTCCTCTTCGTGTAAATAATCCAAGCTGCATGTTGTTAGATATAATCCGATGATTATGCCGAATTTTATTTCCTTCTCATCATGAGAATAAAACAAATCCGAACACAGAATAGGATTTGCATACGAAATGGAAGAACAAAATTCCTTACCCTTTCAAGATATCAAGCATTAACAACAGTTTAAAGCTCGGTGTCCACCGAAAATCAACCAACAAAAATGACATCCGGTTCTACCTAACAAGGTGCAGCAAGGATTATTTACACTAAGAGAAGAAATACATTGAAGATTTAATTATACACCATATATATATATATATATATATATATATATATATATATATATATATATATATATATAAATGCTAAACACTAATATTCCATGGTTATAATTTATTACACTGGTTTCGTAATTACGATCCAATTCATCAGACCTACAAATTCAAAAAAGAAAAAAAGAAATTGAGAAAAAAACCCGAATAAAGACATGAGAAGTAAATAAAAGCTTTAGGACATGAAAGTAAATGAAAGCTTTAGAAGGGGTAACAGACATGAAAGTAAATAGAAAACATGAGAAGTAAATGAAATGAAAGCTTTAGAGAGGGTGTAAAAGACATGAGAAGAGAAAGCTTTAGAGAGGGTAACAGACATAAGAAGTAAATAAAGCTTTTAGAGGGGTAACAGATATGAGAAGTAAATGAAAGCTTTTAGAGAGGGGTAACAGACATGAGAAGTAAATGAAAAAGCTTTAGAGAGGGTAACAGACATAAGAAGTAAATGAAAAGCTTTAGAGAGGGGTAACAGAGACATGAAAGTAAATGAAAGATTTAGAGAGGGTAACAGACATGAGAAGTAAATGAAAAGCTTTAGAGAGGGGTAACAGACATGAGAAGGTTTAGAGAAGAGAGGGGGTAACAGACATGAGAAGTAAATGAAAAGCTTTAGAGAGGGTAACAGACATGAGAAGTAAATGAAAAGAAGTAAATAGAGAGAGGGGTAACAGACATGAGAAGTTGAAAGCTTTAGAGGGTAACAGACATGAGAAGGAAAAGCTAGAGAGGGGTAACAGACATGAGAAGTAAATGAAAAGAAACAGACATGAGAAGTAAATACAGAGAGGTTAACAGAAAAATGAAAGCTTTAGAGAGGGGCAACAGACATGAGAAGAAATGAAAGGGGGGTAACAGACATGAGAAGTAAATGAAAAGATTTAGAGAGGGGTAACAGACATGAGAAGTAAATGAAAAGATTTAGAGGAAAATAACAGACATGAGAAGTAAATGAAAGCTTTAGAGGGGTTGTGACATGAGAAGTAAATGAAAAGCTTTAGAAGGGGTAACAGACATGAGAAGTAAATGAAAGCTTTAGAGAGGGGTAACAGACAGAGAAGTAAATGACATGAGAAGAGGGCAAATGAAAAAGAAGTAGAAAAGAGAGGGGGTAACAGACATGAGAAAAAAAAAAAAAAAATTTAAGAGGGGATAAAGACATGAAAAAAGCTTTAGAGGGGGGTAACAGACATGAGAAGTAAATGAAAGAGAGGGGTTGAGATAAAATGAGAGGGAGAGATATGGTAACAGACATGAGAAGTAAAAATGAAAAGAGAGAGGGGGTAACAGACATGAGAAGTAAATGAAAATTTAGAGAGGGGTAACAGATTATGAGAAGTAAAATGAGAGCTTTAGAGAGGGTGACAGACATGAAGTAAATGAAAAGCTTTAGAGAGGGGTAACAGACATGAGAAGTAAATTAAAGCTTTAGAGAGGGATAACAGACATGAGAAGTAAAATGAAAAGCTTTAGAGAGGGTAACAGACATGAGAAGTAAATGAAAAGCTTTAGAGGGGGGTAACAGACATGAGAGGGATAATAGACAGAGAAGAATGAAAAGTAAATGAAAGAAGTTTTAGAGAGGGGTAACAGACATGAGAAGTAAATGAAAAGCTTTAGAGAGGGGTAAAGACATGAGAAGCTTTGAAAAGAGAGAGGGTAACAGACATGAGAAGTAAATGAAAGCTTTAGAGAGGGGTAACAGACATGAGACATGAGAAGTAAATGAAAAGCTTTTAGAGAGGGGTAACAGACATGAGAAGTAAATGAAAGCTTTAGAGAGGGTAACAGACATGAGAAGTAAATGAAAGTTTTAGAGAGGGATAACAGACATGAGAAGTAAATGAAAGCTTTAGAGAGGGGTAACAGACATGAGAAGTAAATAAAAAGCTTTAGAGAGGTAAATAGACATTTGAAAAGAGGGGTAACAGACATGAGAAGTAAATGAAAAGCTTTAGAGAGGGGTAACAGACATGAGAAGTAAATGAAAAGAAGAGGGTAACAGACATGAGAAGTAAATGAAAAGCTTTAGAGAGAGGGATAACAGACATGAGAAGTAAAATGAAAAGCTTTAGAGAGGGGTAACAGACATGAGAAGTAAATGAAAGCTTTAGAGAGGGGATAACAGACATGAGAAGTTAAAACAGAAAAGAGAGGGGGTAACAGACATGAGAAGTAAATGAAAAGCTTTAGAGAGGGATAATAGACATGAGAAGTAAAATGAAAAGCTTTAGAGATATGAGAAGTAAATGGGAGGGGTAACAGACATGAGAAGTAAATGAAAGCTTTAGAGAGGGGTAACAGACATGAGAAGAAATGAAAGGAGAGGGGTAACAGACATGAGAAGTAAATGAAAAGCTTTAGAGAGGGTAACAGAATGAGAAGTAAATTAGAGAGAGGGGTAACAGACATGAGAAGTAAAATGAAAAGCTTTAGAGAGGGGTAACAGACATGAGAAGTAAATGAAAAGCTTTAGAGAGGGGTAAACAGACATGAGAAGTAAATGAAAGCTTTAGAGAGGGGTGGGCCAGACATGAGAAGTAAAATGAAAAGAGAGGGGGTAACAGATATGAAAAGCTTTTAGAGAGGGTAACAGACATGAGAAGCTTTTTAGAGAGGGGTAACAGACATGAGAAGTAAAATGAAAAGAGAGAGGTAACAGACATGAGAAAGTAAATGAAAAGCGTTAGAGGGATAACAGACATGAGAAGTAAAAAAAAGCTTTAGAAGGGGTAACAGACATGAGAAGGAAAATGAAAGAGGGGGTAACAGACATGAGAAGTAAATGAAAAGCTTTAGAGAGGGATACAACAGACATGAGAAGTAAAATGAAAGCTTTAGAGAGGGGTAGACATGAGAAGTAAATGAAAAGCTTTAGAGAGGGGTACAGACATGAGAAGAAAATGAAAAGAAAAACTTTAGAGAGGGGTAACAGACATGAGAAGTAAAATGAAAGAGAGAGGGGTAACAGACATGAGAAGTAAATGAAAAGCTTTAGAGAGGGATAACAGACATGAGAAGTAAAATGAAAAGGGAGGGGTAACAGACATGAGAAGTAAAATGAAAAGCTTTAGAGAGGGGTAACAGACATGAGAAGTTAAAAGAAAGAGAGAGGGTAACAGACATGAGAAGTAAATGAAAAGCTTTTAGAGAGGGGTAACAGACATGAGAAGTAAATGAAAGCAGAGAGGGGTAACAGATACATGAGAAGTAAATGAAAAGAGGGTAACAGACATGAGAGCAAATGAAAAGCTTTAGAGAGGGGTAACAGACATGAAAGTAAATGAAAAACTTTAGAGAGGGGTAACAGACATGAGAAGTAAATGAAAAGCTTTAGAGAGGGGTAATAGACATGAGAAGTAAATGAAAGCTTGAGAAGAGAAAGCTTTAGGGACATGAGACAGAAAGCTTTAGACGGGGGTAACAGACATGAGAAGTAAATGAAAGCAGACATGAAGAAGTAAATGAGAGGGGGTAACAGACAAGACATGAGAAGAAAAACTTTTAGAGAGGGTTTAGGAGAATTAACAGACATGAGAAGTAAATGAAAAGCTTTAGAGAGGGGATAACAGACATGAGAAGTAAAATGAAAGCTTTAGAGAGGATAACAGACATGAAAAAATGAAAAAGCTTTAGAGAGGTGATAACAGAGAAAATGGGGTAAACAGACATGAGAAGTAAATGAAAACTTTAGAGAGGGTAACAGACATGAAAGTAAATGAAAAGGAGAGGGGTAACAGACATGAGAAGTAAATGAAAAGCTTTAGAGAGGGGTAACAGACATGAGAAGTAAAAGCTTTAGAGAGGGGTAACAGAAGAAGAGAGAGGGGTAACAGACATGAGAAGTAAATGAAAGCTTTAGAGAGGGGTAACAGACATGAAGTAAATGAAAAGTTTAAGAGGGGTAACAGACATGAGAAGTAAATGAAAAGCTTTAGAGAGGGGTAACAGACATGAGAAGTAAATGAAAAGCTTTAGAGAGGGGTAAGACATGAGAAGTGAAAGCTTTAGAAGTAAAATGAGAAGTAAATTTAGAGAGGGGTAACAGACATGAGAAGAAAAGACATGAAAAGTGAAAGCTAGAGAGGGGTAACAGACATGAGAAGTAAATGAAAAGCTTTAGAGGGGTAACAGAGGATAACAAGCTTTAGACATGAGACAGTAAATGAAAAAGCTTTAGAGAGGGGTAACAGACATGAGAAGTAAATGAAAAGCTTTAGAGAGGGGTAACAGACATGAAAATGAAAAGCTTTTTAGAGACATGAGAAGAAAATGAAAAGCTTTAGAGAGGGATAACAGACATGAGAAGTAAATGAAAAGCTTTAGAGAGGGACATGAGAAGTAAATGAAAAGCTTTTAGAGAGGATAACAGACATGAGAAGTAAATGAAAAGTTTTAGAGAGGGGTAACAGACATGAGAAGTAAATGAAAAACTTTAACAGACATGAAAATAGAGAGGGGGTAACAGACATGAGAAGTAAATGAAAAGCTTTAGAGAGGGATAACAGACATGAGAAGTAAATGAAAAGCTTTAGAGAGGTAACATGAGACAAATGAGAGAGGGTAACAGACATGAGAAGACAAAGTAATGAAAAGCTTTAGAGAGGGACATAGAAGTAAATGAAAGCTTTAGAGAGGGTAACAGACATGAGAAGAAATGAAAAGCTTTAGAAGGGTAACAGACATGAGAAGTGAAAAGCTTTAGAGAGGGGTAACAGACATGAGAAGTAAAATGAAAAGCTTTAGAGAGGGACATGAGAAGTAAATGAAAAAGTTTAGAGAGGGGTAACAGACATAGATAAATGAAAAGAAAAAGACATGAGAAGTAAATGAAAAAACTTTAGAGAGGGGTACAGAAATGAGCTAAAAGGAAAAGTTTTAGAAGGGGTAACAGAAATGAAGAAATTTTAGAGAGAAGTAACAGACATGAGAAGTAAATGGAAGCTTAGAGAGGGGACATGAGAAGTAAATGAAAAAATAGAGAGACATGAGAAGTAAATGAAAAGCTTTAGAGAGGGGGTAACAGACATGAGAAGTAAATGAAAAGCTTTAGAGAGGGATAACAGACATGAGAAGTAAAAAAAAAAAGATTTAGAGAGGGGTAACAGACATGAGAAGTAAAATGAAAAGCTTTAGAGAGGGGTAACAGACATGAGAAGTAAAATGAAAGCTTTAGAGAGGGTAACAGACATGAGAAGTAAATGAAAGCTTTAGAGAGGGGGTAACAGACATGAGAAAAAATGAAAAGAGAGGGGTAACAGAGACATGAGAAGTAAAAGAAAGATTTAGAGAGGGATTAAATAAAAGAGAGGGGGTAAACAGACATGAGAAGTAAAATGAAAGCATGACATGAGAAGTAAATGAAAAAGTTTAGAGAGGGATAACAGACATGAGAAGTAAATGAAAAGCTTTAGAGAAGGGTAACAGACATGAGAAGTAAAATGAAAAAGCTTTAGTTAGAGAGGGGATAACAGACAGAAAATGAAAAGCTTTAGAGAGGTAACAGACATGAAGTAAATGAAAAGCTTAAACAGACATGAGAAGTAAATGAAAAGCTTTAGAGAGGGGTAACAGACCCTTGAAGAAATAAAAGCTTTAAGGGGTAACAGAAAAGTAAATGAAAAGCTTTAGAGAGGGGTAACAGACATAAAGTAAATGAAAAGCAGAGAGGGATAACAGACATGAGAAGTAAATGAAAAAGCTTTAGAGAGGGGTAACAGACATGAGAAGTAAATGAAAGTTTTAGAGAGGGGTAAAATGACAAGAGTAAATGAAAAGTAACTTTAGAGAGGGTGAGAAGTAAATGAAAAGCTTTAGAGAGGGGTAACAGACATGAGAAAGTAAATGAAAAGCTTTAGAGAGGGGTAACAGACATTTAAAAGAGAGGGATAACAGTGAGAAGTAAAAATGAAAAGCAGAGAGGGATAACAGATAGAGAAGTAAATGAAAAGACATTTAAAAGCTTTAGAGGGGTAACAGACATGAAGAGAAGTAAATGAAAAAGCTTTAAATAGACATGGGAAAAGCTAAGACAGAAATGATGAGAAGAAAATGAAAAGCTTTAGAGAGGGGTAACAGACATGAGAAGTAAATGAAAAGAGAGGGGTAAATAGACATGGAGAAGTAAATGAAAAGCTTTTAGAGAGGGGTAACAGACATGAGAAGTAAATGAAAAGCTTTAGGTGAGGGGTAACAGACATGAGAAGAAAACGAAAGTTTTAGAGAGGGGTAAATAGACATGAGAAGTAAATGAAAAGCAGAGGGATAGACATGAGAAGAAAATGAAAGTGTAGAGAGGGGTAACAGACATGAGAAGTAAAATGAAAAGCTTTAGAGAGGGGTAGACATAGAAGTAAATGAAAATAGACAGAGAGAAGTAACAGACATGAGAAGTAAATGAAAAGAGAGAGGGGTAACAGACATGAGAAGTAAATGAAAGCTTTAGAGAGGGGTAACAGACATGAGAAGTAAATGAAAAGAGGGGTAACAGACATGAGAAATGAAAAGCTAAATGAAAAGCTTTAGAGAGGGGTAACAGACATGAGAAGTAAATGAAAAGCTTTAGAGAGGGGTAACAGACATGAGAAGAAATGAAAAAGACATGAGAAGTAAAATGAAAAGCTTTAAATAAAAAGCTTTAGAGGGGTAACAGACATGAGAAGTAAATGAAACAGACATGAGAAGTTTTAGAGAGGGGTAACAGACATGAGAAGTAAATTTAGAGAGGGGTAACAGACATGAGAAGTAAATGAAAAGAGAGAGGGGTAACAGACATGAGAAGTAAATGAAAAGCTTTAGAGAGGGATAGACATGAGAAGTAAAATGAAAAGCTTTTAGAGAGGGGTAACAGACATGAGAAGTAAATGAAAAGGAGAGGGGTAACAGACATGAGAAGTAAATGAAAGCTTTTGAGAGGGGTAAAGACTTTAGAGAGAAGGTAACAGACATGAGAAGTAACTGAAAAGCTTTAGAGAGGGGTAACAGACATGAGAAGTAAATGAAAGTTTAGAGAGGGGTAACAGAAAGTAAATGAAAATTTAGAAAACTTTAGAGAGGGGTAACAGACATGAGAAGTAAAATTAAAAGCATTTTTTAGGAGAGGGGAACAGACATGAGAAGTAAATGAAAAGCTTTAGAGAGGGGTAACAGAGAAGTAAATGAAAAAGAGAAGTAAACATTTAGAGAGGGATAACAGACATGAGAAGTAAATAAAAAGCTTTAGAGACGGGTAACAGACAGAGAAGTAAATGAAAAGCTTTAGAGAGGGATAACAGACATGAGAAGTTTAGAGAGGGGTAACAGACATGAGAAAAAATGAAAGCTTTAGAGAGGGGACATAAAGTAGACATGAGAAGAAAATGAAAAGCTTTAGAGAGAGAGGGGTAAATAGGGAAGTAACAGACATGAGAAGTAAAAAAAGTTGAAAGACACAAGAAGTAAAATGAAAAGAGGGTAACAGACATGAGAAGTAAATGAAAAGACAGACATGAGAAGTAAATGAAAAAGAGAGGGGTAACAGACATGAGAAGTTGAAAGAGAGAGGGGTAACAGACATGAGAAGTAAATGAAAAGACTGAGAAATTAGAGAGGGTAACAGACATGAGAAGTAAATAAAAACTTTTAGAGAGAAGGGTAACAGACATGAGAAGAAATGAAAGCTTTAAGAAAAACAAAAACTTTAGAGAGGGGTAATGACAAGAGAAGTAAATTAAAGCTTTAGAGAGAGGACAGACATAGAAGTAAATGAAAAAAAGCTTTAGGGAGAGTGGTAACAGACATGAGAAGTAAAATGAAAGCTTTAAAAGAGAGGGGGTAACAGACATGAGAAGTAAAAAAAGCTGAAAAATAGACATGAGAAGTAAATTTTAGAGAGGGGGTGACATGAGAAGTAAATGAAAGCTTTAGAGAGGGGTAATAGACATGAAATGAAATGAAAGCTTTAGAGAGGGGTAACAGACGCTGAGAAGTAAATGAAAGCTTTAGAGAGGGGGAACAGACATGAGAAGTAAATGAAAGCTTTAGAGAGGGGTAACAGACATGAGAAGTAAATGAAAATCTTTAGAGAGGATAACAGACATGAGAAGTAAATGAAAAGCTTTAGAGAGGGGGTAACAGACATGAGAAGTAAATGAAGGACATGAGAAGTAAATGAAAAAGCTTTAGAGAGGGGTAACATACAGAGAAGTAAATGAAAAGCTTTAGAGAGGGGTAACAGACATGAGAAGTAAAATGAAAGTAAATGAAAGCTTTAGAGAGGGGCAATAGACTTTAGAGAGGGGGTAACAGACATGAGAAGTAAATGAAAAGCTTTGAGAGGGGTAACAGAGAGGGGTAACACGAGAAGTAAATTGATTTAGAGAGGGATAACAGACATGAGAAGTAAATAAAATTTAGAGAGGGGTAAAGACTTAAAATGAGAGGACACAGGGGTAACAGACATGAGAAGTAAATGAAAGCTTTAGAGAGGGTAACAGACATGAGAAGTAAATGAAAGCTTTAGAGAGGGGGTAACAGACATGAGAAGTAAAGACATGAAAGCTGAGAAGTTGAGGAGAGGGGTAACAGACATGAGAAGTAAAATGAAAGGAAGTTTAGAGAGGGGTAACAGACATGAGAAGTAAATGAAAAGACAGGAGAAGTAAAATTTAGAGAGGGGTAATAGACAAGGAGAAGTAAAATGAGAAGTAAAAAAGCTTTAGAGACATGAAAAGTAAATGAAAAAGCTTTTAGAGAGGGGTAACAGACATGAGAAGTAAATGAAAAGCTTTAAGAGGGGTAAAGACATGAGAAGTAAATGAAAAGCTTTAGAGAGGGGTAAAGACATGAGAAGTAAAATGAAAAGATTTAGAGAGGGGTAACAGACATGAGAAGTAAATGAAAGCTTTAGAGGGGTAACAGACATGAGAAGTTAGAGAGGGGGTAACAGACATGAGAAGAGGGGTAAATAGACATGAAAGTTTAGAGAGGGTACAGACATGAGAAGTAAATAAATGAAAGAAAAGCTTTAGAGAGGGGTAACAGACATGAGAAGAAATGAAAAAGCTTTAGAGAGGGTAAAGACATGAGAAGTAAATGAAAGTTTAGAGAGGGGTAACAGACATGAGAAGTAAAATGAAAACATTTGAAAAACTTTAGAGAGGGGACATGGGAGAGGGGTAATAGAAAAGAAATAGAGAGGGGTAACAGACATGAGAAGTAAATGAAAGCTTTAGAGAGGAAACAGACATGAGAAGTAAATGAAAAAGCTTTAGAGAGGGGTAACAGACATGAGAAGAAATGAAAAGCTTTAGAGAGGAAAACAGACATGAGAAGTAAATGAAAAGCTTTAGAGGGGGTAACAGACATGAGAAGTAAATGAAAAGCTTTAGAAGTGAAAATGAAAGCTTTTAGAGGGGTAACAGACATGATAAATGAAAGCAGACAGACATGAGAAGTAAATGAAAAGCTTTAGAGAGGGGTAACAGACATGAGAAGTAAATGAAAGCTTTAGAGAGGGGTAACAGACATGAGAAGTAAATGAAAGCTTTAGAGAGGGGTAACAGACATGAGAAGTAAATGAAAAGCTTTAGAGAGGGGTAACAGACATGAGAAGTAAATGAAAAGCTTTAGAGAGGGGTAACAGACATGAGAAAAAATGAAAACAGCTTTAGAGAGGGATAACAGACATGAGGAAGTAAATGAAAAAGGGGGGATAACAGACATGAGAAGTAAATGAGAGAGGGGTAACAGACATGAGAAGTAAATGAAAAAAGTTTAGAGAGGGTAACAGACATGAGAAATAAATGAAAGCTTTAGAGAGGGGTAACAGACATGAGAAGTAAATGAAAAGCTTTAGAGAGGGGTAACAGACATGAGAAGTAAATGAAAGTTTAGAGAGGGGTAACAGACATGAGATATAAATGAAAAACTTTAGAGAGGGGTAACAGACATGAAAAAACTAGACAAAGAAGCTGAGAAGACATGAGAAAAAAGTGAAAAGCTTTAGAAAAGAGGGTGGATAACAGACATGAGAAGTAAATGAAAAGCTTTTAGAGAGGATAACAGACATGAGAAGTAAAATGAAAAACTTTAGAGAGGGGTAACAGACATGAGAAGAAAGCTTTAGAGAGGGGTAACAGACATGAGAAGTAAATGAAAAAGCTTTAGAAGGGTAACAGACATGAGAAGTAAATGAAAAGCTTAGAGAGGGGTAACAGACATGAGAAGTAAAAATGAAAAACTTTAGAGAGGGATAACAGACATGAGAAGTAAATGAAAGCTTTAGAGAAGGGGAGAGAAGGGGACATGAGAAGTAAAATAAAAAGCTTTACAGGGGTAACAGACATGAGAAGTAAATGAAAAAGCTTAGAAAACAGACATGAGAAGTTGAAAAGAGAGAGGGGTAACAGACATGAGAAGTAAATGAAAAGCTTTAGAGAGGGGGTAAAATAGACATGAGAAGTAAATGAAAAGTTTAGAGAGGGGTAACAGACATGAGAAGTAAATGAAAAGCTTTAGAGAGGGGTAAATAACATGAGAAGTAAATGAAAAAGCAGAGAGGTGAGAAGTAAAATGAAAGCTTTAGAGAGGGGTAACAGACATGGGGTAAATGAAAGCTTTAGAGAGGGTAACAGACATGAGAAATAAATGAAAAGAAGAGGGGTAAATGAAAGTAAATGAAAAGCTTTAGAGAGGTGTAACAGACATGAGAAGTAAATGAAAGCTTAGAGAGGGGTAACAGACATGAGAAGTAAATGAAAAGTTTTAGAGAGGGGTAACAGACATGAGAAGTAAATGAAAAAGCTTTTAGAGAGGGGTAACAGACATGAGAAGTAAAAAAGAAGCTTTAGAGAGAGGGCACAGACATTTAGCTTTAGGGGTAACAGACATGAGAAGTAAATGAAAAGCTTTAGAGAGGGATAACAGACATGAGAAGTAAATGAAAAGCTTTAGAGAGGGGTAAATAGACATTTTAAGTAAATAGACATGAGAGGGGTAAAGACATTAGAAGAAATGGTAACAGAAGTAACATAAATGAAAAACTTTAGAGAGGGGTAACAGACATGAGAAGTAAATGAAAACATTAGAGAGGGTAACAGACATGAGAAGTAAATGAAAAGCTTTTAGAGAGGGGTAACAGACATAAATGAAAGAGAGAGGGGTAAACATGAGAAGTAAATGAAAAGCTTTTAGAGAGGGGTAACAGACATGAGAAGTAAATGAAAAGCTTTAGAGAGGGGTAACAGACATGAGAAGTAAATGAAAAGGGGTAACATACACATGAGAAGTAAAATGAAAAGCTTTAGAGGGGTAACAGACATGAGAAGTAAATGAAAAGAGAGGGGGGTAACAGACATGAGAAGTAAATGAAAGCTTTAGAGAGGGTAACAGGGGTAAAAAGCAGAGAGGGGTAAGACATGAGAAGTAAATGAAAAGCTTTAGAGAGGGGTAACAGACATGAGAAAATGAAATTTTAGAGAGGGTAACAGACATGAGAAGTAAATGAAAAACTTTAGGGTAACAGACATGAGAAGTAAATGAAAAGCTTTAGAGAGGGGTAACAGACATTAAATAAAAAGAGAGAGGGGTAACAGACATGAGAAGTAAAATGAAAAAGCATGAGAAGACATAAATGAAAAGCTTTAGAGAGGGGTAACAGACATGAGAAGTAAATGAAAGCTTTAGGAGAGGGGTAACAGAGACATGAGAAGTAAATGAAAAGCTTTAGAGAGGGGTAAATGACATGAGAAGTAAATGAAAAACTTTAGAGAGGGGTAAATAGACATGAGAAGTAAATGAAAAAGCTTTAGAGAGGGGTAACAGACATGAGAAGTAAATAAAAGAGAGGGGTAACAGACATGAGAAGTAAATGAAAAAATGAAAGCTTTTAGAGAGGGGTAACAGACATGAGAAGAAAATGAAAAGTTTAAATGAAAATGAAAAGCTTTAGAGAGAGGGTAGAGAGGGAGAGTAAACAGACATGAGAAGTAAATGAAAGCTTTAGAGAGGGTAACAGACATGAGAAGTAAATGAAAAGCTTTAGAGAGGGGTAACAGACATGAGAAGTAAAATGAAAAGCTTTAGAGAGGGGCAGGGACATTTAGAGAGGGAAAAAAATAGACAACAGACATAGAAGTAAATGAAAGCTTTAGAGAGGGGTAACAGACATGAGAAGTAAATGAAAAGCTTTAGAGAGGGGTAACAGACATGAGAAGTAAATAGAAAGCTTTAGAAGGGATAACAGACATGAGAAGTAAATGAAAAGCTTTTAGAGGGGTAACAGACATGAGAAGCAAATAAATGAAAACAGACATTAAATGAAGGGTAACAGACATGAGAAAATAAATGAAAATCTTTAGAGAGGGGTAACAGACATGAGAAGGACAAGTAAATGAAAGCTTTTAGAGAGGGGTAACAGACATGAGAAGTAAAATGAAAAGAGAGAGGGTAGAGAGGGAGTAAAGACATGACATGAGAAGGGGTAAATGATGAAAGTAAATGAAAAATTAGAGGCAACAGAGAGGGTAGACAGGCACATGAGAAGTAAATAAAAAATAGAGAGAGGGGTAACAGACATGAGAAGTAAATGAAAGCTTTAGAGGGGGGTACAGACATGAGAAGTAAAATGAAAAGCTTTAGAGGGGTTTTAGAGAGGGGTACAGACGAGAAGTGTAACAGACATGAGAAGTAAAATGAAAAGTTTAAAAATGAGAGGGGGGTAACAGACATGAGAAGTAAATGAAAAGTTTAGAGAGGGGTAACAGACATGAGAAGTAAATGAAAAGCTTTTAGAGAGGGGTAACAGACATGAGAAGTAAATGAAAAGCTTTAGAGAGGGAAGAGAGGGGTAACAGACATGAGAAGTAAATGAAAAGCTTTAGAGAGGGGTAACAGACATGAGAAGTAAAAAAGCTTTAGGAGAGGGGAAAAGAAGTTTTCAAAATGAAAAGCTTTGAGAGGGGTAACAGACATTTAGAGAGAGGGGTAACAGACATGAGAAGTAAATGAGACATGAGAGAAGTAAATGAAAAGCTTTTAGAGAGGGAAACAGAAAGAAGTAAAATGAAAGCTTTAACAGACAAGGAAAAGGAGAGAGGGGTAACAGACATGAGAAGTAAGAGGGGTAACAGACATGAGAAGTAAAATGAAAAGCTTTAGAGAGGGGTAACATACATGAGAAGTAAATGGGGGTAACAGACATGAGAAGTAAATGAAAAGTTTAGAGAGGGGTAACAGACATGAGAAGTAAATGAAAAAGCTTTAGAGAGGGGTAACAGACAAATGAAAAAGTTAGAGAGGGGTAACAGAAAAGTAAATGAAAAGCTTTAGAGAGGGGTAACAGACATGAGAAGTAAAATGAAAGCTTTAGAGATGGGTAAGAGGGGTAACAGACATGAGAAGTAAATGAAAAAGCTTTAGAGAGGGTAACAGACATGAGAAGTAAAAATGAAAAGCTTTAGAGAGGGGTAACAGACATGAGAAGTAAGAAGTAAATGAAAAGCTTTAGAGAGGGGTACATAACAGAAATGAGAAGGGGTAAATGAAAAGCTTTTAACAGACGTGAGAAGTAAATGAAAGCTTTAGAGAGGGGTAACAGACATGAGAAGTAAATGAAAAGCTTTAGAGAGGGGTAACAGACATGAGAAGTAAATGAAAAGCTTTAGAGAGGGGTAACAGACATGAGAAGTAAATGAAAGCTTTAGAGAGGGGTAACAGACATGAGAAGTAAATGAAAGCTTTAGAGAGGGGTAACAGACATGAGAAGTAAATGAAAAGCTTTAGAGAGGGGTAACAGACATGAGAAGTAAATGAAAAGCTTTAGAGAGGGGTAACAGACATGAGAAGTAAATGAAATGAAAGAAGAAATGAAAGTAGAGAGGGGTAACAGACATGAGAAGTAAATGAAAAGCTTTAGGAGGGTAACAGACATGAGAAGTAAATGAAAAGCTTTAGAGAGGGGTAACAGAGAAGTGAAAAGAAGGGGTAACAGATGAGAAGTAAATAAAAAAGCTTTAGAGAGGGGTAACAGACATGAGAAGTAAATGAAAAGTTTTAGAGAGGGGGTAACAGACATGAGAAGTAAATAAAAGCTTTAGAGAGGGTAACAGACATGAGAAAAATGAAAAGTTTTAGAGAGGGGTAACAGACATGAGAAGTAAATGAAAAATGAAAAGCTGAGAAGTTGAAAAGCTTTAGAGAGGGGTAACAGACATGAGAAGTAAAATGAAAAGAAGAGAGGGGTAACAGACATGAGAAGTAAATGAAAAAGCATTAGAGAGGGGTAACATGAGAAGTAAATGAAAAGCTTTAGAGAGGGGTAACAGACATGAGAAGTAAATGAAAAGCTTTAGAGGGGAGAAATAACAGACATGAGAAGTAAATGAAAGAGAGGGGTAACAGACATGAGAAGTAAATGAAAAGCTTTAGAGGGAGGGGTAACAGACATGAGAAGTAAATGAAAAGCTTTAGAGGGGTAAATAGACATGAGAAGTAAATGAAACATGAGAAGTAAATGAAAAGTAAATTTAGAGAGGGGTAACAGACATGAGAAGTAAATGAAAAGAGAGAGGGGTAACAGACATGAGAAGTAAATTAAAAGCTTTAGAGAGGGGTAACAGACATGAGAAGTAAATGAAAAACTTTAGAGTGGGGTAACAGACATGAGAAGTAAATGAAAAGCTTTAGAGAGGGGTAACAGACATGAGAAGTAAAATGAAAGCTTTAGAGAGGGGTAACAGACATGAGAAGTAAATGAAAGATAGATTTAGAGAGGGGGTAACAGACAGAAGTAAAAATGAAAAGAGAGAGGGGGTAACAGACATGAGAAGTAAATGAAAAGCTTTAGAGAGGGGTAACAGACATGAGAAGTAAATGAAAAGCTTTAGAGAGGGGTAACAGACATGAGAAGTAAATGAAAAGCTTTAGAGAGGGGTAACAGACATGAGAAGTAAATGAAAAATGAGAAGTAAAATTTAGAAAAGAGAGGGGGGTAACAGACATGAGAAGTAAATGAAAAGCTTTAGAGAGGGGGGGTAAATAGACATGAAAGTAAATGAAAAGCTTTAGAGAGGGGTAACAGACATGAGAAGTAAATGAAAAGGGTTAGAGAAGAAGTAAATGAAAAGCTTTAGGAGAGGGGTAAAGACATGAGAAGTAAATGAAAAGCTTTAGAGAGGGGTAACAGACATGAGAAGTAAATGAAAGCAGACAGAGAAGTAAATGAAAAGCTTTAGAGAGGGGTAACAGACATGAGAAGTAAATGAAAAACTTTAACATACATGAGAAGGGTTAACAGACATGAGAAGTAAATGAAAAGCTTTAGAGGGGTAACAGACATGAGAAGTAAATGAAAAGCTTTAGAGAGGGGGAAGACATGAGAAGTAAAATGAAAAGCAGACATGAGAAGAAATGAAAAGCTTTAGAGAGGGTAAAGAAGAAATGAAAAGTTTTGGAGAGGGGTAACAGACATGAGAAGTAAATGAAAAGCTTTAGAGAGGGGTAACAGACATGAGAAGTAAATGAAAAGCTTTAGAGAGGGGTAACAGACATGAGAAGTAAATGAAAAGCTTTAGAGAGGGGTAACAGACATGAGAAGTAAATGAAAAGCTTTAGAGAGGGGTAACAGACATGAGAAGTAAATGAAAAGAGAGAGGGGGGTAACAGACAAGAGAGAAAATGAAAAAGAAGGCCTAAAATTTAACAGAGAAAAGTTTTTTAAAGAGATCAAAAGTTAAATAACAAGTTTAAATGAGGAAATACACATAATTCATTAATTATTTTCCATATATATAATTATATTATGTGTGTGTGTATATGTATATATATATATGTGTGTGTGTGTGTGTGTGTGTGTGTGTGTGTGTGTGTGTGTGTGTGAAAGTGTATATAAATATAAATTAATATAAGTATGTATAATTATATATTATATGCGCAGTACTTATTAGAAAGCGCTCAATATCAGAGATAGAGCTAACATATTTGGTTGAATTGATGTGAGTTTGTGACCCTGGGTTTCACGCTTTAGCGATCGTCAGACCCAAATTTTTAAAACATTAATCAGTTTGTCTGACGATCGCTAAAAGCGTGAAACTTGAAACCCAGTGTCACAAACTCACATCTATCCAACTAAATATATATATATATATATATATATATGTGTGTGTGTGTGTGTGTGTGTGTGTGTGTGTGTATTAAGCACTAATTTTATATATATATATATATGTAAGTTTTTGTAGTACAAAATTTAAGGATAGCTTGGAATAAGCATGATTTATATAGCATTTTATGTGTATATTTTAAAAGCTAAAAAACAACCGGTTTCTTCGCAGCTTTATCAAGTTTATTTCTGGGATATAAAAAATAAGCGGGTAAACTTGTAAATTTAATTGATAATGGCAAAAAAAAGTATATGAATTTCAAGAAAGCTAGACCCACGGAAGGCCCACAATATCTGATATACAGTGACTCTAGAACCTTGAGGCGATATGAAGACTGGGACTTCGATAAAATCGACAAACGGTCCACCCTAAAATCTAAGACACAATTCTTACTATTTATAACATGATCTGCAATAGAAGAGCCAGAAGTATTAATTAGTTGGCTTTTCCTGGCATCCGGATCCAAATCCTGGCGGGTAAATGTTGTTTTATTCTCAGATCCAAACGTTGGGACGTCCTCCCTATGTAGTCGAGTCCTCAACTACACTTATATTTATAAATCACTGAATTAACATGATGGGGGTAGGAAAGGACATCCTTACGAATGGAAGAGAAAATAGGACGGGTAACAAATATTACAGAACATCAGCCGAAAAATAACAGCTATTAATCGCACGCGAAATTCGTCTAGCCTCTGAACCAATTCGACTCACCCTCTGAACCAATAAAGGGAAGATGCAAATAAAGTGGACATTTTTTTAACAAAATGCGGCTTAACCCTACGGAATTTATTGATGACGTCATGGATAACAGAATCTAAAACACCCAAAGAATATCCATTTTTAGAAAGTGTCATCTTAATAAAATCAATTCCATCGCAGAGAATGCTATCAGGACCATTAGTTCTCATTAATATCAATTAAATTTACACGTTTATTTTTTTTATATCCCAGAAATAAACTTGATAAGGCTGGGACGAAACCGGTTGTATTTTAGCTTTTAAAATATACATTAAAATGCCATATAAATCATGCTTCCTAAGGTCTGCTCAGCATAGTTGCAGTATAAGCTACAGGTTGGCTCTGTGGGTGCTGAACAAACAGAAACGTGCCTGATGGAAAGTGAGAAAAGGAACAACAAAGAAAAAGAGATTAAGGAAAGAAAAAATGGCGATTGAAGTCAAATTTAAATTTTTGAATGATTTTTGTTTTTAATTTAAAGAAGCGAGAAATCGGAAGGTAGTTCCAGAGATGATAAGTGTAAGCAAATAAAACGTTAGAATAGAAGTGGCGGTTGTATCTAACCTGTTCGACAGTAAAACAGTGAGACCTAGTTGCCAATCAAGTAACCGGCCTTCAATTCATGTAGTCGAAGCACCGGAGAAAAAAGCTCATCAGAAAAAATGAAAATATTTATAGAAAACACAGAAGGCAGCCATGTCTCGTCAGTGAGAATGCGATTGAAGTCAAGATATCAGGTCAAGATTGATTACATTCAATCAGTAATATTCCATGCGTGAAACACGCGTAGGCGATCATGTAACTTTCGATACATGACTGACGAGGCAGATTTTTTTTTCCGCAGTAGGCCGCCATTTGTGTCAGCAATTAGTAATTGTAAAAGTATAGTCGAATATGTTAAGTATTTATTTGTTGATAGAATGAGGCACTGTATAGACCTAACAATTTTGCTTCTCGTGATTACCGGTGTCTCTGTAGTTATGTGCCATGTGTGTTTAGGCGATCATGTATCTTTTGATACATGAATGACGAGTCAGATTTTTTCCCGCAGCAGGTTGCCATTTCTGTCAGCGGTAGACCAGTTGCCATCCAAGGCTACAGAACTCGGTCTGTCCTGCTATTTACCTATAGCTGGGGGAGAAGAAGAGGATTAGCGTATTAGTACGTAAGTGAATGTAATGGATTCGGCTGAAATTCGAACTCGGCTCTCCGTTATCTCATTTCTCGACGCCATACATTACACCACCTACACACCCTCTTCAATGAAATGGACGCAGTAGTAACAGTAGAGTAGTATTTCAATGAACAAACAGTCACTCAGGTATGTGTCATGAGTGATAGACGCTTAGGCAATCATGTATCTTTCGATACATGAGTGACAAGGCAGATTTTTTCCTGTAGCAGTTTGCCATTTCTTTCAGCATTAGAACAGTTGCTATCCAAGGCTATAGAACCCAGCCTGTTTTGCTATTTACCCATAGGTGGAGGGAGAAGAGGATTCATACCTTTCCCAAGGGTATTAGCACGTAAGTGAATGTAATGGATTCGACTGAAATTCGAACTCGGCTCTCCAATTCCACAATCCGAACTGCTATCCATTACTTCACCGTAACTTTACAGATATATTTTTTTTAAATTTTGTCAACAATTTCTAGATATTCAGCAAGAGCAACATACTAGATATGACAGCTGTCTTCAATGCACTGATGAATGATACGTTTATAACAATGCAAGATGGATTCTGACGCGAAAAAATGTCTTGTGCGACACAGTGGACCGACTTTCTTAGCAATAGACTGAATGGTACCTCGATAAAATCGACAAACGGTCCACCCTAAGTCGCTCTACTTAATGTCAGTGGAAAACGTGAGTCCAAGAAGGCGTAGAGTGTTGCTCTCCTAGAGTTTAACATCAGCTATTCTGAAGGCAGGCAGAAAATATTATCTGTAGTGATTAAATGAAATTTTTGAATATTGTAGTTGCTAGGGATGCAAGAAATCCGAATGGATTTCCAAAGTTAAGAAGTACGAGGAAAGAAATTATTAGAATAGAAGCTGCGGTTCTATCTTGCTAGTTTAACAGTAAAATGTTGAGACCTAGTTGCCAATCCAGTAGCAGGCTTATTTTCATGTAGTCTAGGCACTAAGGAAAAATCCATCAGAGCAGTTGCCATGAAAATATTTGTAGAAAAGTCAGTGGGAAGATCTTTGCCTTGAATGTCTCCAGACTTCAGGAGCACCAGACCAAATATGGTAACAGTATTCAATGCAAGGACGAATGGTAGATCTATTTTTGAAGATTGTAGTTGCTAGGGATGCAAGAAATCCGAATGGAATTCCAAAGTTAAGAAGTACGAGGAAAGAAACTATTAGAAT